CTCCTAACTTTAAGAGAGCACATCTTCCAAGGCTAAGAGCTGCTTTTAAAGATTTGGACTGAGGGAGAATGTATTGATTAAAGCAAATCTTCACCCTGCCCCCCTCCCTCATTTTTTTTAAACCCTGCTTACCCAATGCTGTGTTCTGCACATTTTATATACTTACCCACCCAGCGGGTCCAGTGTTGTGCTTCTGAGAATCTCTTCTCTTTTGCTCCTGTTCAGTTCTCTGCCACCATCTTCTTGTGTGACATCATCAGGCTGCTGGCTCTTCTGGGGTTAGTTGGAGGGCCTCCCGATGACACGCTGTTAGGCCACCACCCTCCTTCTTTGTCAAAAAAGGAGTATGCCTCTTGGAATATATGGTGTACATATCTCAGGAGGCACAGGGAGCATAGTGCACATCATTTGTCTAGGCAAGTGACATGCATGGGGGGCGGACCAGAAGTATTTTAGTTAAAAAAAGGTAAATAATTTAAAAAAAAATGCCCTATTTGTGTAGAGTAGGGGAGGAGGGGTGAGTTTAACAAAAAAAAATGTGGCTTTACAATCACTTTAAAAAAGTGAAGCAGGGCCAAAGCTCTTTTGGCCCTATATGTCCTGTGGGTCACAGGAGTGCACTTAGTTCTATAGTTCAACTAAAGCCCACTGGCGGCTGACGTCACAGAGCTGGTCTAGGTTCTGGAGAGATCCTGACTTTACTGTTGGGATCCACACAAATGCCTGAACCGACAGCTGGCTCAGCTTCTCAGTGAGCCACCGAGAACCTGAGCCAGCTACTCCCAACCCCTCTACAGCCCAGTACTTCAGTGAGCTTTGGAGGGGCAGAGAACCGGTGATTGACAGCGACTGTCAACACTCATGATCACAACAGCAGCCTAAGAATAGGCATGAGTATTATATCAGTTTGGCAGATGCACCTCCTGGGATAGCGATACTTGTTCCATCTCATCTAAAGACATCATGTTACAGAGAATCCTAAGAATTGAAGGGAACCCCAGATACTGATGTACAAAACTCAATGCAAAGGGTTTGGTTCCCAAGAGGTAGTAGCGGAACTGGAAATGAGCCAGATAACCCAAACCTTGTAAATGATTTTTGAACAACCCCTAGACTCATATGTATATTTATAGAGTGGAATGGCTGAGTTGACCAAGTGTTTATAGAAATCCAGAGTAGGAGCTAAAGGAGACTTACACTTGAGGATTATAGCTTTCCATGCATAAAATATGAGAAGACCTAACAGGGTCCCAGCACCCTTGTAGGGGCCAAGGAGTTAACAAATCCCAAAATACAAATATCTACAGTTATTGGTACCAGGACAGTTGTTAATATGTAGATGAAACATGAAAGGTCACCCCAAAATGTCTGAATCACAGGACAGGTCCAAAACACATGGGTGAAATCAACCATGCATCTCCAACATTTCGAGGGAGTAGAGTAGTGAGAGAGTACAAATTCTGTGCAAAGGATGAGGGGTAAAATATATCCCATTAAGAAGTTTAAATTGATTTAATTGGTCTCCAAGACTAGCTGCAAAATGGAATACTCCCAAATGTCCACCCAGTTCCCACTATCAAGTGCTGGAACTTCCCCTCTCCTCCTCTCAAGCAAACCATCTAAACCATCATGTATTGAGGGCACTTGGGCCTTATAAATGGTAGACCACACTTTTGTTTTATTGCAAATTGAATGTGCCATAATTGTAACAAAAACGGTTCATTGAATTCTCCTATTCAAAAAATGAATTGTGTTCCTACAGGCTTTTCACTAATGCTGAATAACTGATACAGAAAGAAAACTGTTACTTATAGTTTAAACGGTGTTCCAAAAAAGTGTGCACTGCTCTGAGAGTTCAGGAGGTACTTAAAGCAAATCTGTGCTTTGCTCACACTAGACAAAGTCACAGGTTCTTTGTAAAATTGTTTGTACTTGTTTTCCCCATGCTCACTGCCACCTCAACCTTCAACCAGCTACTGCAAATTTAGACTCTCAAAAGTAGAAACATACACAGAGCTAAACAACCTACCACCGAGCCCACTTGGTTGCTCTGGCCTGGTGACTGGCCAAGCACTGAGCCATGAATTGTGGGGGAGCAGTTACAAGCAAAGTACAGGTTTACTTAAATCCCAATTTTATTTTCACTTTAGGTAAGCTAAATACATTCCCAGTGCAAAAAAACAAGTGTCATGGCCAATCCCAAGCCTTTGCTAAGAAAGAAGAGGAATGGGGCACTGGGCCAGCAACCCAGCCCCATAAAACCTTTTATTGCTACAGAAACATTAAACACAAACCTAAAAATCTCACATATGCGCAGGCTCAGTTCTGATGGTGACATTGGAGGAAACCCACCCATGTGTCCAACCTCCAATGTGATCCAGTATTCTTAGAGAAACATTTGTTAACAAGATAGGAACATTAAATGTATTTATTCATTTTATTTACTACAGGTACTTATATGACGCAAAATTTACACAGCGCTTTACATATACATAGTATACAATATCAGTCCTTAACGCTCAAGGAATGTACAATCCAAGGACCCTAACTGACATTCATACATTCACATACTAGGGCCAATTTAGACAGGAGTGTGAGAGGAAACAGGAACACCCAGAGGAAACACACGCAGACACAGGGAGGACAAGCAAACTCCATGCAGGTTGTTTTGTGGTTGGGATTCGAACCAACGACCCTAGTGCTGCCAGGCAGAAGGGCTAACCACTTAGCCACTGTGCTGCCCAAATGTTTGTACCACGCCCATATTACTGCTGCACAGTTGCAGTCCAGACATGCTAAGACAACTTTTGTATAAGTGTCTGCACCTACTGAAGATGCAAACGAAGATAAGAAAGAAGATTTTTATGACCTGTTACAAAGAACCTTAGATACAGTGGGGTTTATTTACTAAAGCTGGAGAGTCCAAAATCAGACTCCCTTCTGCATAGAAACCAATCAGCTTCTAACCTCAGCTTGTTCAATGAAGCTTTGGCAATGAAACCTGGAAGCTGATTGGTTTCTATGCAGAAGTGAGTCTGATTTTGCACTCTCCAGCTTTAGTAAATAAACCCCAGTATGTCATCTCCAGTTACAATGTAAAGCTTCTTATTGGCAATTTTAAGGCCTCATTCACACAGGGCGCTTTTATCTGTATCCCTTGCACCCCTTGTATCCCTTGTGTTTTACCAGAACAGGCATGCATCCCTGTACTGACAGTCCCATTGCTGTTAAATGGGACACATAGACACAACCACTGCTCTCAATGTGACATCCATGCAGGTGCGTGTGCACAGCCCCGAAGGCACCCCGAATGAGACCTAATTCTCAAAATGCCAACAACCATCAGGGTTTGGAGGATATACTTGGATTCTGAAAATCATCCAAACAAATGACAATGGGGAGCGTCTACTGCTCTTCTGTAATGCAAACAATCTCTGCATTAGAAATACATACTTTCTACAGAAGGCCATCCACAAGAAGATCTTAAGACCCTCCCACCCCCACCCATGCAGAGTTACCAACAATGAAATAGATTACATTTACATCAATAGATGGCTGTCCAAATCTTAGGAAAACTCGGCGTCTAATCAGACTATAGCTTCCCCAAGATGGCTGGCAGAAGCCCAATACAATTCTCTGTAAGGCTGCTCTAGCGCCTGAGTTAAGCAGTAACCATGCTGTTGTTTACTTCTGATACTAATCATAAAATGAGCTGGTGATCTGTGAATTGCTGTCTTGCTCACAATGCTGTCATCCATCCAAGCTGTATCACCACTCAGCGTCACAGTAGTAGCTGCCGAACAGCAGCACCTTCTTACATTATTTTGTTTCTGAATGAGTGAGCATGATATCACTCTAAGGGCCCATTCACATTGCAACCATTGAGCAACACAGAGTGAAAATGGAACATGTGGTAGTACATGCCACTCACTATCATGCCCTGTCCAGGGCTGGGCAGCATTTATATTCCCTATTACTTTGGCTTCTTTTGTTATCTTTGAACATACCCCTGTCCCTTTTTATAAAGGCCAATATAGCATTTCTACAGACGCCTGAAGTACTTTTTCCCAAAACAGAGAACTATTCCAATCCAAGGTTTCTGAAATCGACTTTATTTCAAGGTTATGTAATATGACCTTCATGTGGTTTACAAATATAGAAATCTGGTATATAAGGCATTTTTTTTTAATTCTTTATTTAAAGTGGCTATAAAGCCTAAACATTTTTACCTTAATCCATTTCTTGCATTAAGGAAAAAATGTTTTGGTGTTTAGGTAATAATATCCACCCTCAACCCCCCCCCCCCCCCCATACATACCTCATTTGATCCAGAGCTGTGCCTGTCTGCAGTGAGGGTAAGGCCGAGCTGCGCTGTGTCTACAAACGCACACAGTCCAGCTTGGGATCAAACCCATGCAAGTGTGCCAATAGGAAGTGGCTTCCTATGGGGGCTCTCGCTGGAAAGGAGGAGCAAGAAGAGCCAGCGGGGGTCCAGAGAAAAGGAGGTTCAGGGCTGCTCTGTGCAGTGGCATCCCTATGGGGGATACGCACCCAGGTGACACTAGTCAGAGGGGTGACACCCAGCGGCTTCGCCTACTCCTACCTGGCTGTGAATTAGTTCCAGACGGCCATACTCGGATGTGAATTAGTTTTGGATGGCCATACCCTGGCTGTGAATTAGTGTAGTCCTCCGCTGTCAATGCCAGGATTAGTCGCCTGGAACATTGCTAAGCCTTGTTATCTCCCCAGGTATATAAGCCACCCTAGATGCCACCAAGTCTTCATCCTACAAGAGGATCATTGGGTGGGAACCCCAGGTCCAGCTCCTCCAGCAGTCGCTGTGTCACCTCCAGCAGCAAGTGCTCCCTGGGCAGCGGCGGTAGTTGCAGCGATGGTCGGCCCAGCAGCAGGGTGGTTTTCACCTCTTCCTCTCAGCGATCTTCAAGTCCTCCTTGGTCAGGCTGAGAAGCAGCTTCTCCCCAGCCCAGCTCCAGGACACCATGGACCTCACTCTGGCAGATGCCATCAACCTGAAATGCAAAGCCAACAAGAAGGCTGCGATGCAGGAGCTCAATGACTTCACAGACAAGGTCTGCTTCTTGGAGCAGCAGAACAAGGTCTTATTGGCTGAATTGGAGCAGCTGAAGGGCAAGGGTACCTCTAGGGTGGGGGATCTGTACGAAGGGGAGATAAGCGACCTTCACAGGCAGGTGTACCTCTTCACCAAAGAGAAAGCCAGCATGGAAGTGGAGAGGGACAACCTGGCAGGTTATATAAATACAATACACCCTAATGTTGTGTTTCATTTATGGGTGGAAGGTGGTGGACTGGATCATCTACTGGTTGCTCAGAGGGAGGAATCATCTACTGGTTCATCAGAGGAAGGGGGTCCAGAGCCTAGATTGGGGTTCCTGAGAAGGGGGGCTCATACTCTAGACTGGGAGTTCCTCAGAAGTGAGGTTCAGTGTCTAGATCAGGGGATCCTCAGAGGGGGATTCCAGCATATAGATCGAGGTTCCTCAAAGGGTAGAATCATGTACTGGATCCTTAGAGGGGGGAATGGTAAAATGGTTCCTTAGAGGGGAAAATCACATATTGGTTCCTTGGGGGTGGGGGTCTAGATCAGGGGTTCTCCACCAGAAGATGTAATTGTCTACTAGTTCTTTAAAGGGGATCCAGATCTGAAGTTCCTCAGAAAGCCCAGTGCCAAGGGGGAAAGGTGACACCATGTTATACGGCACCAGGTGACAGCAACCCTAGTAATGCCACTGGCTCTGTGCAATTCCACTGCACAAAACAGGTAAGTATATACCTGTTTAAAGGTAAAATGTTTTACTTTTACAATCACTTCAAGAAAAAACATAAGCTTATGAGTTGTATGTCCGTCTAAATGTAAAGATACCAACACACACATAAAGGTCTATGGATTTACAGTTGGAGTATAAGCACAGTGCTATGACTCCAGTTGGGTGAATAAGTATATGATATTTTCAAAAAAACTGTTAAAACATATTGCTTAGTTATAAAAAGAACTTTTCTACAAGAGAGTAACCCAAAGCTCAAACAGCAATCATTTCTCATATGATTTTCATCATAGTCCCATAATGTCTAAAAACACAGCATGACTGGCTCAGAGGATCTATCACAGAATAGAATGTCACCCACTGTACAGAATGAATTGGACTAGTTACATTTTATCCAGAAGATTCTGTCCTTGCTTAAGGCAAAAAATCTTTCTGCTAGATCAGTGGACCAGAACATATGCACCTGCACCAAATACATTTTAATTTGAGGCCAGCAATACTTATGCAAAGGAGAAACTTTGCAGTGGGTGCACATAGTGAGAGAGATGTTTATCTGGGAGCAATGTCCTCTTCTCTTACACTACAGAGTATGTTCTGTCAGGATTCCAAATCTCCATCTGTCCCCTGCTGTAATGAAAGGCAGTGTAACGTATATAGAAAGTGTTACCCCTATGTCGGTCATTTGACCACTTTGCGTGTCTTTTTGTGTGTAGCCTACCTCTATGGCTGGATGTGTACAGTGTGCTTCTATCCAGGTAGGTGTTTACCTATATATCCCTGGATGCGTGTCAGATGAATCTTTCTTCATAAGAAGGGGTCTGATGCTATGGGCGGGGAATCAATGCCCCGAAATAGCTCTCTTCTGCTTTAGCTCAGCCTGTTTGTGTGTGACTTCTGCTTTCTTTTTGACTCACCATCTTATCTACAGAAAGAAGGGTGAGATTTGAAAATCTGGAGAAAACAAAAGCCGAGGTGTAACACAGAAACCAACAAGTCTCAAGGTGATATTTTGCTACTTCTGGTTAAAAAAATGTAAATAATCAGCTGCCTTAGGCAGTGAAGTCCCCTGTTATACCATAAGCATAAATGTTGTGTCAAATTTAAATATGACGCAGAGCAACCAAATAACAACTGGACCATGAGCAAAATGTACAGTAAGTAGATGTTGAGCTTTGGCAGACAGACACGGAGGGGGAGATTTACTAAAACTGGTGCACACAGAATTGGGTGCAGCTGCGCATAGTAACCAATCAGCTTCTATCTTCAGCTTGGTTAATTAGCTTTAACAATAAAACCTGGAATCTGATTGGTTACTATGCGCAGCTGCACCAGTTTTAGTAAATCACCAAGTATGTTGAAGTATCTTTTCAAGTCTACGCAAGATACTCAGTGTCAAATGAATTGGAACGCCAGTTTTTTTTTTTTAGTTATTGGAACTCCAGTTTTTTTTTAATGTAGCCCCACATGGTTAAATGAGATGTATAGCCAAAGCTCTTTTGGCCCTACTTCACAGGAGTGCGCTTAGTTCTCCACCCTTGTGTGTGCTGAAGTCCACTGTCGGTTGATGTCACTGAGCCAGTCCTGACTCTGGAGAGATCCCAACTTTATTGTTCAGATCCACTCAGATACCTGACCAGCACCTTGGTTGACCTCTCAGCACTCTGCTGAGAGCCTGAGCCAGCCGCTCCTGCCCCTCCACAATCCGGCGCTCCAGTGAGCATTGGAGGGGCAGAGCAGAGAGCCGGTGACTGATAGTCCCCTACTCTCTGCTCACTGAAGATCAAGAATTGAGCAATCAGCAGTCTTTAATCACTCATTTCTTGGTCTTGGAGGAAGGGAGGAACAGATGAAGCATCGGACTGATGCTGCTGCATCCACATAGGTGAGTATGCATGTTTATTTTTTTTTAAACCCCGCACTTCTCTTTTAAAGAAAAGCAACTTCATCTACAATGGTCTTCTGTAGTGCCATTCCCTGCTGATTTACCTCTCTAAAGTCCAGTGCAGCTCCTCACTTGGGTTGAATGAAGGCCAATGACACTCAACCCACTACCCTCTTGGCCTAGGTAAACTATACAATACTTCAGACACCACTTTCTGGAAAATTAGAGCGTTACTAAACTCAGGACCCTGCATTAACTCTATCTGGTCTCCCACAGTACATGGAACATAGAAATGCAATTATTTTAGTAAATATAAACTACTAAATACCTTTTCTCATCAGCAGTTAGAGCAGTTTTGTGACTTCTATCAGTGTCCGGCCAAGCACTGGGTAATTTTGTAGAAGTTTTCATTCTCTGACTGTCCTAGGAGGCTGCATGACCCCTGACCCTCTGTCCAGACAGCACTGTTTGGTTTTGTGCTGATCACATGCACACTCCCCCCCAAGCAAAAAAAAAAACTCTAGCAATACACACCAAACAGAGCATGTGCAGGCTTGCCACTGCTGCTCTGTACTATGGCAGATGTATTGGGGACAGTAAAAGAAGGGAAGGATCAGAGAAGACAAGATCAAACAGCCTTTTTACAAAACGTGGAGAATTAACCCCTTAGGTTCCACAGTGAGTATAACAAGCATGTTTTACTGCATATACAGACTGATTTTGCTATTGTGGGTTTAGGAACACTTTAAGGACCACCCACTGCTGCAACAACAAGTAGAGGACCCGAGATTTAGAGTCAATTCATGCCAGATGCATTGGCACATTGCCAATGCAAGGACCTGTAAGAAATAAGGCATATGAATGGGAACAGTTCACACTCGTGCATTGTGCTTTATGGTGGCATGCAAAGCCAAAAAGACAAAAAAAAAAAAGAGAAAGACTTACTTTTTTTTTTTTTTTTTAAGAACAACAGTAATGTGTGTCATCACAGCACAATGTGCATTGATGCACGAAAAGCAGCAGGCCAGCACAAGTTTTAGCAAGAGAGGAAAAAAGTGCTGGTTAAAACCCACCGCACCATGCCAATGCACACAGTGAGGTGTGAATGGACCCCAAAAGTATGTACTGTATAAGGACATTTTTTTTAAATTTGTGTAGGATGGGAGTGCAGGAAGGGAATTTGTTAAGTGTATTTACTGGAGATGTACTTTGTACATCCCACAGTCTTACGGTCTAGTTACAATACTCTATATCTTTAAATATGGTAACCTCAGCTACACTATATTGCCAAAAGTATTGGGACGCCTGCCTTTACACGAACATGAACTTTAATGGCATCCCAGGCTTAGTCTGTAGGGTTCAATATTGAGTTGGCCCACCCTTTGCAGCTATAACAGCTTCAACTCTTCTGGGAAGGCTGTCCACAAGGTTTAGGAGTGTGTCTATGCGAATGTTTGACCATTCTTCCAGAAGAGCATTTGTGAGGTCAAGCACTCACGTTGGATGAGAAGGCCTGGCTTGCAGTCTCCACTCTAATTTATCCCAAAGGTGTTCTATTGGGTTAAGGCCAGGACTCTGCGCAGGCCAATCAAGTTCCTCCACCTCAAACCCACTCATCCATGTCTTTACGTACCTTGCTTTGTGCACTGTCATGTTGGAACAGAACGTGGCCATCCCCAAACTGTTTCCACAAAGTTGGGAGCATGAAATTGTCCAAAATATCTTGGTATGCTGACACCTTAAGAGTTCCCTTCACTGGAACTAAGGGGCCAAGCCCAACCCCTGAAAAACAACCCCAAACCATAATCCTCCCTCCACCAAACTTTACACTTGGCACAGTGCAGTCAGGCAAATACCGTTCTCCTGGCAACCACCAAACCCAGACACGTCCATCAGATTGCTAGACAGAGAAGTGTGATTCGTCACTCCAGAGAACATGTCGCTACTGCTTTAGAGTCCAGTGGCAGCGTGCTTTACACCACTGCGTCAAACATTTTGCATTGCACTTGGTATATATAAGGCTTGGATGCAGCTGCTCGGCCATGGAAACCCATTCCATGAAGCTCTCTACACACTGTTGTTGTGCTAATCTGAAGGCCAAACGAAGTTTGGAGGTCTTTAGCCATTGACTCTGCAGACAGTTGACGACTTCTGTGGACTGTGTGCTTCAGCATGCGCTGACTCCGCGCTGTCATTTTATGTGGACTACCACTTGGTGACTCAATTGCTGTTGTTCCCAGTTGCTTCCACTTTGTTATAAGACCACTAACAGTTGACCGTGGAATATTTAGTAGCAAGGAAATTTGACGGATGGACATATTGCACAGGTGGCAACCTATCAGAGTACCACGCTTGAATCCACTGAGCTCCTGAGAGCGACCCATTCTTTCACAAATGTTTGTAGAAGCAGTCTGCATGCCTAGGTGCTTGATTTTATACACCTGTGGCCATGGAGGTGATTGGAACACCTGAATCCAATGATTTGGATGGGTGTCCCAATACTGTTGCCAATATAGTGTATCTTGTTTGTTACTCACACCTTAATGGGAATTGCATTCATGCTCTCCAGATAGACAGCTGCACCACAAAAGCGTATTATTTGACCCCTTTTAAATGAATAGGACAGACACATTAACTTCGGGGTATTCCATAATGAACATACCACAATGTAAGCAAAGTATGGGATGATAATGTGATTCTCTTATAAAACATTTCTGTTTACCAAGCATAGTTTTTTTATACAAAATATCATGTTTGCATAATTATACACCTCCTCTTTATGTATTTCACATACTTCAATAACAGTTTAAAACAAGAATAAAAATATGTTTTCATCTCAAGAAACCTGTTTCTATATCCAGAAATTTGTCATAAGCTTTTTGTTGTACATTCC